CTCACTATGGGCAAGATTTCCTACCATGACCAACCAAGACAGACCAAAGGATGAGCTGGCTGTTGACAAAGGACAGCTGTTGACTAGAACAACTCCTATCACCGTTTTCCTTCTGCTGCCAATATCCGGCTCAGCTCTGTCCGCGAATTGCTGTGACAAAAAGCATCAAGTCCAACAAGAGCTGAGAGCACCTCAGGAGAGGAAGGACGCATGCGAATGCATTAATAAAAGGAAAATAAATCTTTCATCACAGACCCACGGCAAAACACATTTGTACAGACACCGACAATCATCCCACAAGTACACACATACAGAAAGTGACGAAACTGCATGTCTAATACTTCCACTAAAAGTCAAGGTAACAGAACACATCTTATTTATGCCTGGCTTCAAAATCCTGAATGAGAAGTCGCTACACAACCTCAAAAAGTACACATCAAGCACCAATAAAAGGTACTGCCCATAAACTTCACAGCCGGGGGTGGAGTTGGCACTATTTGCTGCTTGCTACAAAAACAAACAGAAAAATGAGCTCTGAAACACGCCTCAACAAAGAAAAACCCAGAAGTACAGAGCAGAACGAGCTGGCAGGTTAAACCCCCCTGAAGTCCAAGAGTAAACAAATTCAGATGGGCTTATGGTTTTCTGTAGCATGGTGTATTTTGCTATCATACTTCATATGGCAAGGCCGCTCCTAGGCAGCGCACGGAAATCCAGAGGATGGACTTGTCTTGCTACTGAGACACATTCAAGGTTAACTTTGGTGGCACCGCACAGCGCTGCACTCAACCAAGAAGAACGGAGGCTGCACTGCCAGGGTGCTTGGGGAGAGAGGAGAACCAGTAGCATCCTTTGGGACGGGGCAGGGAGAACAAGTGCTGGAGCCCATCACCTCTATGAAAGGCCTCAAAACTGCATCTCCACGTGAATGGAAGTGTTTTGACTAAAATCACCACTATGCTCCCCAGCTCTGCCCCTCGCTACTGGATGGGGTACAAATGCTGTAGGCTACACACTGCAGAGAACCTGTCATTGCAAAATATTAAACATTTGTGAGTGCTAAGTGTTTTGCAGAGTAAGACGTGGCTGAGGCGGCTACAGTTTCCTTCATCTCCACACTCCACTGCTGAACGGGAAAAAAAAAATTAGAAAAATAACAATACCTGTCCCATCCTAAGCATGCTCTCACTTCCTCTTTCTCTCGGTGTTTTTAAAAGATGGCAAATAATTGTTTTGATTGTTTCTTAACCACCTTCCTTAACTCTTCAGGAAATGCCACATAGTTTAGACATATTTTTCTTCTCCGAGCCTAGAGGCTTTACTACAGCTTCTGGAAGGACTGCTCGAGAAATACTTCACTTGCTGTTTATTAAATGTTTATTAAATGCCAAATCCAGGCTGGCTGTTGTTAACTTTCTATAACTTTCAATAGGTAGCTGAAGCGTATCTGTTCCTTTACATCAGTGGATATTAGTATTGTTCAGCTGGATGAAGCTCTTTTTGCATTTATTTTATGAAGTAGTTTTTGAGAAACAGAGGTAAGAAATCCTAGTTCCTGCTCTCTGTGTTTAGTATCTTTACAAAATTTGCCCGACTAGCAGAATCATTGAAAAGTAAATACTAAATAATGGCTTAGATATAAAAATATGTATTGTTCAAGTAAGCGAGTTTATCAGCATACCTACACATAAGCAGTTATTGAACTATTTCTAGGAAAAAATACTACTCCATCTGCACTCAACTTTTTACACGTTTCATATGAAACCTGCTTATTTTAAAGACTCCTCACTTTACAAGAAGTATTCTCTGCCCCCAGTCTTCACAAGATATTATTTTAAAATAAAAAGCTGAACAATTATAAAGCATCTGCTTGTGTAAAAAGAGTGATTCAGCAAGAATCATGTACTTGAAATCCCCTTCACAAGAAAGAGCTTATTCACGCAGGGACAGTTGGCAGGGATATCTCAGTCTCCACTTGAATGCTCTTTTTCCAGCTTGTGTTGAAGGGGTTCAGATGCCTGGGAGGAAGCTAATCACCATTTTTTATAGGCCGTGGAAAGCAGGGTCTGGTTCAGAATTGCAAGTGCTTGTACCAAAGCTCTCCCAGTGAAAAGCAAAGGCCTATAAGTTAATGTTCAACAGAAACTGGCAAACCTGCTGTGCTCACTGAGCAACGTGGTCAGGTATGAACTGGAAGTGTATACATAAAAAAACATAATAAGCACGGTTGCTCAGAGTTCAGCCGCAGCATTTAAGGCACAGCATGCTAAAGGGAAGAAGGCAGGGAGCACTTAACACATGAAATATTTTAGCCAATTCTAATCCTTCCACAATTTCTGCTCCCATTAAGTATGTATTAAACTAGCTTTGTTACAAGCCAATCAGTTGTCCTTGAAAGTCTTGCGAAACACAAGAATAAAAGCTTTCATCTGCTAGTCAGTATAAGCTGAAGTCAGCAAGTAATGTATACAACTGGAAGCAAAATTTGCCATAGTCTGTTGCAAATACCTTTTCATCAGCCTAATCAAGACATACCACCAAACAGATTCATTTATTAAATATAAGTAGTGGTCCTGCAAGTTACTTCTGGATACAGGTTTACTCTTAAGTTTTTCATTGAAGTCAATGCCTGCAAAGCTTTAATAGAAAGTAATGGATGACAGTTTAGTCTAAAGTGTTAAAAAACAAAGCAAACAGCTGCCACAGAACTTAAAAACCCACTTTATGTTAACAATCTAGTCTTCCTATTTATTGTGACTAATGTGACTGCATCAGAGCTAGTTCAGACCATGTCACAACTCCCTCCGAAGCTCTTCATGTTTTATTTTTGTATGTACTATTCATTAATCAGTTACTGGAATATGTGGCAGCTCTTAAAATACTTGTACTTTCAAGTTATTGGACAAGAATGTGTATTTCTTTTGT